CCCCGGTCAACTTGGTAGCGAGCAATAGAGAGTTAATTTGTTTTGATGTTACTTGCCATTTGGTGTATGCTTTCAGGTTTATAGGCTTTGGCATATTACAGAGCTGCTAGGACAGATCCTTTGGGATTGGGACTTGGAGCTACAGGAACAGTCGCTCAGGAACAGCCGTGCACAGTCGCGTGTTGTTGCCGTGTTTTTGTAGTTACCACAATAAAAGCGCTAGCTGCAGTCAGCTATTTCCTATATTACAGTGTTGAGTTGTAATTGATAAATGATTTATGTTCGTTTGAACTGGTGAATTAGAACATAAACATCATTATCGTGGGTGGCGTTATATGGCTTGGACGAGGTAAGCAACGTGGAGCTATAGATCTTATAAATTATTTCGGTCGTTTTATATTGGACAAGATCGTTCATCGCGGCTATTTTAAGAATCATGGATATCTAATAAAATATCAGTACATCTTATACAACACTGAATGATATCTGTAAAACAATGATCTATGATCTAATAAACGGTGAACATATTAGGACTATCAAAAATATCTATTCTTATTTTTTACATATGTTAATTATGCAACCGTCAGTTTAAAAATCTTTCGACAGAATGTATTCAATGTGGACATCTAAAACAATAGAAAAATAGTTTTGATAATAATGCATAACCGTCTATTTAAAATGCATAATATTTTCAAATAAGTCACATTATGCGGGATTGTTTATCATTTGTTAAACTTTGTAAATAACAATATTATTATTGTTTGTGTCTTATATAGAGGATCTTAAAAAAGTGTCCATGTCATATTGAATTTATTAAACGAGTTTAATCATTTCATATGACACAAGCCTTTAGGCGACGCAGTGCAAAGAAGTTCCAGGTTATTAAATTTTAATAATGAACACTTTTAAATGCAATGCAAATAAATTGATAAAATAGACATTTTAAATTCGTTTAATCGCAAACTAATTAAACTTTGTCAGAATTTTTTTGATAAAATTCACAATTTTATTGTGGCGTAGGAATATGTTCCCACGGTTTTCACCAATCACAGCCCCTTTTAGGTTTTTTTTACACAAATTTAATATCTTATTTATGACATGGCCATATGACACTGTAAAATGGGTCAGGTATATGATAAATTGATATATTAAGTCAAATTCAAATTCTGTAAGATAGTAATATAGTGCGTGTAGTTTGCCATATACCAGGTTACTTGATGATATTATTTGGGAAATACTTAAAAAAATAGTTTGATTGATTTTTTTTAAATCAATTTAATTTCAATTAATTACCAACGGATTAAAATGATTACCAGATATATTTTATGTCTTTTGGTTTGTTTTTACTGTTTTCCGTATCTGTGAAGCATACTGATTTTCGATATTTGTGAAATTCATTACTAGCATACTGTATCTTTTGTAAATAATCAAAAAGACATGTCACTGTGAACTATCATTTAGTATGATGATGTTTAATTACCATTTACTCTAAGGTGAAACCGCTACTTTTCAGAAAGGGTTTACTGGCACTACGGATTCGGCATCGTCTGTCGCACTGGCGTTCTACGACGCTTCGTGGGCGAATGAGGGATGGCATATATAAACGGAGAAAAGTAGTGTTAATAAATTAAAGATAAAGCATATTCTTACATATCGAGTTAGTCATTTAAGGAAATCGATATATGCCAAATGTATTTATCTGATGTTTAAAATGGGAGCCAAAGAGAACTGCTTTGTAAGATATTGAAATTTTGCCCCTTCAATTTGTAAGATAAGGATTTCATTGTTGACATTTTT